TCTGTTTTCCCGACACAGCAGTTGACGGGCACCGGCAGAGTTTTCATTAATTCGACCGCTTTAGGGGAAGGAATTTTTTTATTAAGCAAAAAGCATTTGGGCCGAATGTGACCATGTTTTTTGCAACAAGTACAAACGGGCTTGAACTTGCTCGATTCTTTTTCCGGATCTGCTCCAGCTTCATGTCAGATCCCGCAGAGTGCATGGCTGGGGAGAAAATCTCAGATTTCATTGCCGTCTTATTTAACTGTTTAGATACTGAAATAGAAAAATGAGCATCAATTAACAACAGCTGCTCTTTTGTGCAGCGATCAGATTTGTCAATTGTTGATGTAATATTCCACTCTCTCCGTCAGTTTGCTTATTGGGCCACTTAGATGATGTCACCTTGGAGACAAAATCAATTCATATTATTCTCACTGCCCTATGTATAGCAAAAAAAAACTATACTCATGAATTGGAAAAATAAAAATACACTTAGTATTAAACAGTATAAAGACCTTCTGTTAGATTACATAAGTCTTGAGACAGCCTGTACCCCCACATCGGACTATTCTCTCTGGACTTCTTTAATTGGCTCCAACACGTAGTGGAGGTGGGTGGTCCCCCTTTGATTCTGTCCCGTGGGGCATGGTGGTGGGTGTGGGTGGGGTGTCGGGGCTGGGGACGTGGGGGGGGTCATGGGCCTGGAGCGGTGGCGCCCGACTGGGGAGGTGGCTCTGGTGGTTCTGGGTGATGGCCTATGCTGGCTGCATGCGGGCTTCTGGGCGGTCTGTACCGGCGGACATGGGTTACTGGCCTGGTGACCTGGCTGTCCCTGGGTGGGTCTGGGGTGGACGCGGGCACGGGTTCTGGGGTGGTATCGCTCCTGGGCGGGGTTCCCGGCTTGGTCCGGGGGTCTCGGGCCTTGACAGGTATGTTGCCGGGGTCTTGGGCCGGCGGGTGCGCCGGTGCCCGGCCCTGGCCTTGGGGCCTTCGGTGCGTTGGTGGGCTTTGGGGCCTGTGCCGTGGGGGGGTGGGACTGTTGATGGGGGGGGG